ACCTGGCTTCAAGCAATCCTCCTGCCTCAGCCTCTCAGAGTGCTGGATTTACAGGCATGAGCTACTGTGTCTGGCCATGGGTGCTATTTTTAAACACAACACTTCCCCCACCGACATCCACATAAGCATATTTTAGATGTGTCAGAATTGGAGAGGGAGTATCAAAGCACGTTTTGTTTGACACACATTCACACTGTAAAGTTCTGGTGAGTTAAGTATCTTGATACACATTTACCTGATTATAATTGAGTACCGCTGTTTTAGGCAATAGGAAGCTATTGAAGAGCTTTAGAAAAATCAAAATACTAGTATAGATGATTGATTGGTCAAGAAACCACAGTGGAGGCAGGGAGACTAGTTAGAAGGCTATGCTTATATTACTCAATTCTAAATATTTGACATCTTATGGAGTATTAATTTCTCTAAAAGAGGAAGTTCATTTACATTTTCTATCATGTAAAAAACTACTTAGGATAATACTGTTTTAAGCTGTTTGATTTATTTATGAATGTGTTACCAGTCTAATACCAAAACCAAACAATGATAATGCAGGAAAACTAAGCCTGTTTCACTTATAAAATAGATTCAGAAGCGGGGCACAGTGGCACATACCTATAGTCCCAGCTACTTGGGAAGCTAAGGTGGGAGGAGTGGTTGAGTCCAGGAGTTTGAGGTTGTAGTGAGCCAAGATCATGCTACTGCACTCTAGCCTGGGTGACAGAGCAAGACCCATCTCATTTATATATACATACATAAATACTCATTCACTTGCTCATTCACATAATCCTAAGGAAAATAATAGCAGATTGATAGTGTGGTAAAATAATAATACACTCTGAGCAGGTAGGTTTTATTCAAGGAATGCAAGAATGTCTCAGCATTAGAAAATCTTATTAGTATGATTTACCTCTTACCTCACTTGATGCCCAAAAAGGACTTGATAAACTATAATATCCATTCATGTTGAAAACTCTTGGCAACTAGGAATAGATGAAAAACTTCCTAAAGATTATAAAATTTATATAGAAAGTAGAAATTGCATAAATATCATACTTAGTGGTAAAACAGACACATTCCTCTTAAACTCAGGGATAAGACAAGTGTTACAGTTTGGATATTTGACCCTTCTAAATATCAGTTTAAATTCGATCCCTAATGTTGGAGGTGAGGTCTAATGGGAAATGTTTAGGTCATGGAAGTGGATCCTTCATGAATGGCTTGATGCCATTCTCATGTAATGAATGACTTCTTACTCTCCTACTTCTTGTAAAGTTGTTTAAAAAGGTCTGACATCTGCTTCCCCTCTTTCTGCTTTCACTTTCAACACATGACCTCTGCATATGTCAGTTCCCCTTAGCCTTCCACCATGAGTGGAAGCAGCCTGATGCACTCAGCAGAGCAGATGTTGGTGCTGTACTTCTTGTACAGCTTGTAGAACTGTGACCCAAATAAACTTCTTTTCCTTATAAATTACCCAGGCTCAGGTATTTATTTATAGCAACATAAATGGACTAGGACAATAAGGGTGCAATTTTCAGTTTTATATTGGAGCTTCTAGCAAACAAGACGAAAAAGACAAATGAGTTTTAAAGATTTGGAAAAAAAAGTGGCTAGGACAGTTACTTCCTAGAAAATCAAATTTTCCCTCCCTAGAAAATCAAAGAAAATCAACTGACAAATAATAGTTTACAAAGTTGATGTTTTAAAAATCTATTAGGAAAAATGATCCTATTAATAAAAGCAACAAAATATAAAATACTTGGAAATAGACCTTATTTTTTAAATGTATAAGACATTTGTGAAGAAAACAATAAAATGTCGCAGATGGATTTAAAGGAAAATCTGAATAGGGAAATTAGTTAGGTTCTTGTATGAATCTAGCTAAGCTGGTAAAGATCCCAGTGGGATTTTTTGTGAGACTTAATTAACAAATCGAAATTCACACAGAATAATAAATGCCTAGGAATAACCAAGATAATTTTGAAAAAGAGCAAGAAGGAAGTGACTTCCGTAAAATCCAGCAACCCCTCTACTACGTATATAACCAAAGGAAGGGAAATCAGCACATCGAAGAGATACTACACTCCATGTTTATTACAGTACTGTTCATAATACCCAAGACTTGGAAGCAACCAAAGTGTCCATCAGTAGATGAATGGATAAGGAAAATGTGGTACATATACACAAAGGAGTACTATTTGGCCATAAGGAAGAATGAGATCCCTGTCATTTGCAACAAAATGGATGGAACTGGAGGTCATTATGATAAGTGAAATAAACCAGGCACAGAAAAACTTCACATGTTCTCACTTATTTGTGGGAGCTAAAAATTAAAACAATTGAACTCATAGAGATGGAGAGTAGAAAGATGGTTACCAGAGGGTGGGAAGAGTAGTGGATAGGGGGAGGGAGGTGGAAGGGTGGGGACAAGTGGGGATGGTTAATGAGTACAAAAATATTTAGATAGAATGGGTAAGATCTTGTATTTGATGGCACAACAGGGTGACTAGAGTAAACAGTAGTTTACTGTGTATTTTTAAATAGCTAAACAGGTGTGATTAGATTATTTTGCACAAAAAGGATAAATGCTGAAAGTGATGAATACCTCATGAGGTGATGATTACCCATTTGCCCCATATGATAGTTATATGTTGTTTGTCTGTATCAAAATATCTAATGTACCCCACAAATATGTACCCTTACTATGTACCCACAAAAAATTTTAAAAAACAGTAGCACTATTCACTTATCAAACTGGCCAAAATTAAGTTTGAGGATATCATGTGTTTGTGGGGATACCTGTTTCTCCACGCTTTCCCCAATACTTGATAAACCTCTAAGAACTTGTTTTGTCAGCCAACAAAACTGTGCTAATATTTTCCCAGCTGACTTTTTAAGAAGATAATATGAGATTATCTTAGATAGTCTGGTGAGATTACAAAGTGATACAGAATCATGTTGTTACTACCCAGATCTTTCTTACTTCCAATCTTGTCTCTTGTTCTCTAGTCTAGGGTTAGGATAGTGGGCCTTAGTTTTGGCTATACATTAGAATCACCTGGGGAAGTCTGAAATACATAAATAACTTTGGCTCTTAACCCAGTTCACCTGAATCGGAATTTCTGGTGGGTTAGCACCTGGGCAGTATTATTTAGGTGATTCTGTTATGCAGCCAGGGTTGAAAACCACCGGGAGCCATGCAACTTGGATTTGAAAATTGGCTCTGTCACTTATTAGCTATTTAGCCTTGGGCGAGTTACTTAATCTCTCTGTAAAATGCCCTCATCTGTAAAATGCTGAAAATTATGTCTAAGTAGTAAAGAGTTGTAAGGAGAAAGTTAGGTAATCCATTTGAAGCGCTTAGATTGCTGACTGGCGCATGGTAAGATTTAGTAGATGTTAGCTGCTACTGCTATTGTTGCAATTATTGCTAACACCATAATATTCTAGTGAGAAAATGGCTGGAGAAGTCTAGTTCTTAATAGCTGCTTTCCCTTCATCCATTTCAGAAGTAGCAAAATTGTACTATTTGTGATAAGATCTGGAATAGCTACCATAGATGTGCTCTGACACTTTTTATTATCTTTAAAGCCCATGTTAGTCTATGAATTTGTTCATTTATTTTTTTCTAGTCTTCCTCCATCATAGTAGAATGTAGATACTATGAGAGCAGGAATGTTGCCAATATTTCTCCCTCCTGGAACCCCATTACACTCCATTGGTGCCAGATTTTTATTAGAAATACTTGTTAAATAAATGAAGATTTTGTTTTTAATATTTGTAGCGATCTTCTGACAGGTACCTATGATTGTAAATCATTGCTTTCAAGTTAAAGATTGGAATTTCAAATGTACATTTTGTTTCTGTTTTGTAAACCTGGTTCTATTCTTTTATCTAGAACAATCAAGCAAATTAGTACTATCTTTGCCACTAATTTATTTCTAACATATGGATTTGTTTTTGACATTGAAGGCTTTACTGTCACTAAGTAACTCCTGTAAATTAGCAAATAGCTTTCAGGAACAAACTGCAAGGTATAGTAGAATTTCATTCCATTGTTGCCTTTAAAGGTATTTATTAGAGTAACAGAAGTAGACACAGTCTTGATTTTCTAGGTGACTTTAAAAATATGACTTAAGAATCTGACTTGTTTTGTGATTTACATTGACTTTTATATTGGTAACTTACCTTGGGTCTAGTTCTGTTTTTACTCCTAATTTGTTATGTGACCCTGGGCAAATAATTTTTTATCTTGGCCTCAGTTTTCTCATTCATAAAATGTGAGAGTTAGACTAGACAGTTCTTTTATTTTATTCCTAAAAGTTAAAAGAAATTTGGTGACATTTGCTAACCCTATTTGTGATATATTATCAAAGAATGTAGTTTAGTTGAGGAAGAAGATCCCCAATTATTTCATATTTCTTTCAGCTTCTAAAATTGTACCTCCCCCGTATATTATGATTTCTTTTTAAATACATTTTTATTTAACAGGTACACAAGCTTGTATGTTCTGCAGTGTCTGTCTTAAGTGAATATTTGGTAGATTCCATGACTTCTGCTACTTTCAGTGTTATTTCATGATTTGAATGTGTGTTTGTGTGATGTCCTGAGCCAAGATATAAACTGACTCACTGTCCTTATCTAAGGGATTCTCTCTCTAGCATAAGGAAAAGGTATCTAAGGAATATAGATGAAAACCAGAGCTCAGAGGGTCATTGTCTAAAGGCTCTAACTGTGTGTTTGAAGAAAGGATAGAAAGACTTAAGATTGAAAGAAGGATTTAGGTAAAGAAAGCCATATTTTGAAGTTGGGACAGAACCACAATATATGCCAAAACTAGTAGAAAATCATTCTTTCATTTTGCTTAAGACTAGAAAGTCTTTAGATTTTTTGGGGACCTTTGAATTCTGATGGCAATTCATTTTACAAAGTTATCATTGGTAATTGGGCAAAATTTGTTATCCTAGATGTTTCTTAACTACTTTTCCTTTTTCTTCTAGGCAGCTATTATTAGTAGAGTTCAGTGTAGGATTGTGGCTTTGGATCTGCGAAGTCATGGTAAGTAAAGTTCTTAATTAATCATTAATTGAATTATAGCCATCAAACCCCTTTGAATAGTCGTAATTATTAGAAATTTCAACATGGCAAAATAACCTAGTCTATTCCATTTGGGCCTTTTTTTTTTTTGGAGGTGGAGTTTCACTCTGTCGCCTATGCTGGAGTGCAGTCGCACAATCTTAGCTCACTGCAACCTCTGCCTCCTGAGTTTAAGCAATTCTTCTGCCTCAGTCTCCTGAGTAGCTGGGATTACAGGTGTATGCCACCATCCACCATGCCTGGCTGATTTTTGTATTTTTAATAGAAACAGGGTTTCGCCATGTTGACCAGGCTGGTATCAAACTCTTGACCTCAAGTGATCATCTGCCTCATCCTCCCAGAGTGCTGACATTATAGGTGTGAGCCACTGCGCCCAGCTCCATTTGGGCATTTTGAAGGAAGTCCTAGGTTCTAGTCTTTATAAATGTATGTGTGTATACATATATTAAAGTTTTATATATAGTATTCATTTTTGTATGTTACATGTTTTGTGTTTTGTTTTGTTTTTTTGAGATGGATTCTTACTCTGTTGCCCAGGCTGGAGTGCAGTGGCGTGGTCTCAGCTCACTGCAGCCTCCACCTCCCAGGTTCATACGATTCGCCTGCCTCAGCTTCCCAAGTAGCTGGGATTACAGGCACCCACCACTATGCACAGATAATTTTTGTATTTTTAGTACAGACAGGGTTTCACCATGTTGGCCAAGCTGTTCTCCAACTCCTGACCTCTTGATCCACCTGCTTCAGCCTCCCAAAGTGCTGGGATTACAGGCGTGAGCCACCACAGCCACCCTTTTTTATATTGTAGATGTTTTAAGCTAAGAAAATATCATTGAAAGTAACCAGATTCTTATGCTGATGTATAAGGAGTGTGGATAAATCTTTGCTAGGCTACTATAATTATCCTCCTTAGGATAACTATAAATATTTGTCTGTAGAAAATCCTTGCTAAACCCATTGTGTAAAATTATAAAGTCCCTATTCCATTGTCCAAAGACGACATTTTTAAAAGAGAGTACTCTTGCTTTTATATTTTATAATTCCTGTCTTGGGGAATTTTATCTTTAAAATATTTTCATCTTAGGTGAAACCAAAGTCAAGAATCCTGAAGATCTGTCTGCAGAAACTATGGCAAAGTAAGTAACCAAACATTTCTTATACATTGCCTGGCCCCCGTCGCTATTATAAATAGTACTATAACTTTATCACTTTCCTGGTGAGATTGTTGGGGAATAATTACCGCAGGGAAAATTTTACTTCTGTTCTCTTTCCTCTGCTTTTGGTTTCTCCTTACTATTTAATCTTGAAAGAAACCTGCATCTTTCTTTTTATGTCCAATGCAATGGTCATCACATAAAGCACTTGAAAATTCTTCAAGGCACAGTTAGTTTGTGAAGGCTTTTGAGAGTTTTCTTCTGTTGATGGAATTGCATTGAACCTGGATCTGTATCGTGGACTCATACTTGGAAAAGTAGTTGTATGCAAGAGGCCTTGTGAGTATCTTCTTAAGGTATTCTGCACACATTCTTTGTCCTATGTCATAGAAAGATCAGAACATGATATTAAAAAATGGTAGTTATACCCTGGGCCTAAAGTAAAAAATGAATGTAGCATATATAGTGGCTCTCAAAACTGCTCACTCATCAGAATCATTTGAGAAGTTACTAGACATAGAAATGACTTTGCCCTACTCCAGACCTACTTCTAGCAGTGGGGTCTGAACATTTATATTTTGATGAAGCTCTATATAGGAATCTGATGGAGCCAGTTCAGTGACTCTTGTTTGGGAACCACTGACCTATAGTGTAAATAGGATTTTCTAACCATAAGAATAAACTTTTTCCTTCAGAGCCCAAACTGTTGTGGCAATAATTTTAATATTATTATTTCTTCACTATCTACCTGGAGATAATTAGTTTTATTACTATAATAGGTGTTATTTGTGTACTTTTTATCTGCCAACTTGCATTAAAGTATAAACTAAGCATTAAGCATAAAGCATTAACTTATTTTGTTTAATCATTTATTAAAACTAAATCCTCATTATTAACTCTGTAATACAGATATACCCTTTTACAGATGAGGAAACTGGCTCATATAGGCTGAATAACTGTATGAAGTCACACAGTCAGTAGACTGAATATATGATCATTCAACTATAGTGCTTGGCAGAGAGAGAGAGAAAGAAATAATATGTATAATATGAATACCATTCCACTCAATGAACATATGCCTTAAAAACTATGAAAAGAGAGAGAAGAGTCTGTTCCTCCAATTATTCCTACTGCCTTTGTTAATATGAGAGCAATACATCCTTAAATAGTCAAGCCTGTTAGTGATACCTGTAGGAAGATCTGTGAATGATTTTTAAGGAAGTAAAGGGTTTTTTGACTTTTAACAAAAAAGTGAAATACATCATCTGAGTGTCCAGGCAGTCAGACATATTGATGATGATGGCTTGGTTGACATTCTACAGGAAATTGAAGAATTAATTGAGAACCTTAAGGAAACTGACTAAATAATAATGTTTCAGTCTGGGGCTTATCAGGAGAGAGAAGCCACATAGTAATTTGAATAAGTAAAGTTGAATATAAAGAATTATTCACTTTAAAAGGTGATTGTAATGAGAGATTGGTAGTAAGAACAAAATGTAGCACATACACATCATGGAATACTATGTAGCCATAAAAAACGATGAGTTTGTGTCCTTTGTAGGGACATGGATGAATCTGGAAACCATCATTCTCAGCAAACTGACGCAAGAACAGAAAACCAAACACCACATGTTCTCACTCATAGGCGGGTGCTGAACAATGAGAACACGTGGACTCAGAGAGGAGCATCACACACTAGGGGTAGTGGCAGTGGGGGGGGGGGGGTGGGGGAGGGACAGCAGGGAGGTGGGAGGATGAGGAGGGGTAACATGGGGAGAAATGCCGGATATAGATGAAGGGAGAATAGAGGCAGCAAACCACCTGGTTATGTATGCATCTATGCAACAACCCTGCATGACCTGCACATGTATCCCAGAACCTAAAGTAAAATTAAAAAAAAAAAAAGAAGTAGAGAAAACTCTTACTAATATAGGAATAGCAGATATAAGGAAGAGCCACTACTCCTTTGGGCTGAGGTAGTGCAGGCAGGATTGAAATCTAGACCTTATTGGAGAATGTGTGACTATGGCTTATCGAAGGTTAGAAATTGCTGAAAATCTGCCCTTTGGAACGTGACAGAATTCTGCCCTCTAGGGTATAGGGAAAGCTGTTCATGGGGAGGTATCTCATCAGAGGCACTGGGCTACAAAACACTGGGTGAGGAAGGGCTAGAGTACTAGAGAAGCCACTTGTGCTGAAGGAATTATACAGGAATTGGCAGGAGTTGGGTACTGGGGAAGTTGTGTTTCTCTAGCACCCTCCATTAACATAGCTTAACATCCTGCCTACTGGCAAGGGAAAAATACTTAAAGGCCTCAGATCTATTTTTATAGAGCAGACAATGAAGGATGAATTGGAGCTGAGGCAGTAAGTTGATAACTGGCACAAAACAATTTTTTTTAATGATAAAAATCATCCACAGTAGATGAGGATGACCAAGAATCAAAAAGGTGGACAAATTAGATTCTTGCTGAAATTATCTAAGCAGTAAAATATTTGTGTGATTTATGAATTCAGTTACTCTGTGAAAAAAAAAAATCTCAAAATGGGCATAATTATATCAACTGCAGAACCTAAATACCACATAAGAAAGTATGTGAAAAAGCCAAAATTTGAGCTTGGGTCATTCTGATATTCCAGTTTCTGTGATACACAGTAATGCTTCTTAGAAAATTAACCTAGTATTAAAATATGACAGAATCCCCTTAAAAAAATCCACCAAAATTGTGATACATCCAGTTATAGCCTAGATTTGTGGGTAACCCTTGCTACTTCATCTTTATTGTATTTCTCTGGATTTTCAGGACTTACCTCAAGTAAGGTACTTGTTGACTGAATGCTCTGCTTGACTTTAATAACAATACATTTCTCTTAGATGATCAAGTGATTGATCATAACTACCTTCTCCCTGGGTAAATATGCCTTTCCTAAGCTTAGACAGGATGTTCAGTTGGTGTGTTTCAGACCTCTCTACCTTTGTGCATGAAGCAGATACTGCAGAACCCCTTCAATTCAGTTAATGTGTATTTTAAGGAGACTTGGACTTAGACAATTGTCCATAGCATCCTTTTGTTTTACTCATTATTTATCTGTTACCAACTAAAAGTTTCTTGGAATTGTTGAAGACTTATTCTGAAAATTTCATGTTGATATTTAATATAAACAGGTTTTAAACTTTAGTCTTTTCTTAAAAAAAAAAGTTTGCTCCCCAAATTATATCCAGTGTTGTTTTAGATTACTTAATTGAGCATATATGTTTTTCTGGTCTGTCATTTTAATATGCAGAATTAGCTCTGGAATACTACTTGTTTTTTATTTTTTTAGAAACTGTATGTATAATAATTTCCTCTGTGTTACTTACTCCAAAGACCACTTATTATCTAATCTTTGTTCCTGATATTTTCCAGTAGTCTCTGAGCAAAGGCATCATGGTTTTGACTTCATGGAATTACTCTACTTCACAGTACCCTATGCCAAGGGGAGATGGCTTTACCATTTATGCCTGTGGTGTAATTTTTTGAATTTTTGCAATCAGACCTTGGTGATGATCTTGAACAGTAGGATATAAGTAACTCTCACATGCTTGGTGTCCCAGTAGTGGAACACTAGGCATAAATGGGTTAACCCATTGAAACATTGAAAATATGTTTCAGTGAGGTAACAAGAATCTATAGCTCTTTTTATTTGGTAGAAATGGAACAATATTGTTATAGACTGAGTGAGATTAATTGATTAATACAGACCCTTCTAGACAGGGCTGCTGAAGGATTACATTAGGTGATGTTTTAAGAAAGTTTATAGCACAATTGAAAAAGCAGCACTGCGTAAGTATTAGTTCTCTTTTCTTTCCTTCATATCATTTTGTCTTGCAGAGAGAATTTTGTGTTAGTATAGAAGCAGCATTGGTGTCAAAGAAGCTTGGACTTTTCATCTTAACTATTTGTTATCACTTTGGATGATTGCCAGAATTGCTTCACTTTCTGTCTTAATCTTAAATTTAAGTCCGAAGGAATATTAAACTATTTGTTTTCACTTACAAAGTTTGATGGCCTCCTTATCTCCCATTTAGATTGTCTACAATTGCCGAGGCTACCCTATTCACTCCTGTAATTGTTGTATGACATTTTAAAAATCAATTCTTACAGAAGTAATAACATTTGCCTTTGCCATTATGAATACTGTAGAGACTATATATGAACATCTGTGTTCCTACATTGACACCTGCTATATTTGGTTAACACTGTGTGAGTGCTTAAGGTATGTAATGACACTCAGCAAGGCAAAACTTTCTTTTGAAGTTGACTCAGCCACTCCCAAAAGAAGACAGTAGATACTAGCCTAAAAAACAATAATAATAAGGCAGTACAGTCATTGGGTCTCCAGAAACACACCTTACTGTTCTTATCCAAGTATTGCTATAGCAAGGAAGGGCTACATGCAATTAAAAACCAAACTTCATACTTCAGTTTTCATTTTCAAAGCTTTAAAATTGGACATTGTTAAGTAGATCCACTCATAATTGAAGACTAGAACCGAAGCCAATAAAATGAGCTCTGAACACCTTTCTAGTTTCTCAGAGCACTGTACTTACATTTATGTTCATCCTTCAAACAACTATCCATGAGAAATTGTAAATAATAATTAACATTTGTATAACATTTTACTCTTTTGAAGTATTTCTTGTTCACTTCTCAGTTAATCCTCAAAGCAATCCAGAGCAGTGAGTGATATTTTTCTCTTTTTTTCATAGATGGTGAAACTCAGTTTCTGAGAGATTAAGTAACTAATGCAAGATCACATAGTGAAAAATAAACTGAGGCTAGGGCTCATCTTGTGATTCCAAGGTTTAGTACATTATAATGCTTAATAAATTTTTTTTCCTGTTTTGTAGATGGGAAAATTGAAACAGAGAAGTTAAATGCTATTTCCAGAGTTTCAGTCTTAGGTTCAAAATAAAGGTATATGTTTATGTAATTGTACTACATGTGTGGAACAGTGAAAGTGTCATATAAAAGAAAATTCAGTAATTTGGGTTCTTAGTCCTTTACCTACCATTTATCCGGAGAAATAGGTATGTGGCTACACATATTGATATTGTGGGCATGTTAGAAGGTTTACAGAGGTATGTTTGTAAGATGGCCCAATAGACTTTTACAGTTTCCCAGCACTGTTACAGACCAAAGGAAGGAACTGGGAAAGAAAACCATTTTTACAGTGTTGTCAGAAAGCATTCTTAGCTCTTTTTCTTCTCTTTGCAGAGACGTTGGCAATGTGGTTGAAGCCATGTATGGGGACCTTCCTCCTCCAATTATGCTGATTGGACACAGCATGGGTGGTGCCATTGCAGTCCACACAGCATCATCCAACCTGGTGCCAAGCCTTTTGGGTCTGTGCATGATTGATGTTGTAGAAGGTAAGTTTTCTTAGCACTGACCAAATCAGGATTTGACTTATAAGAGACATCCATGGTAGATTATTACCTTGTCTTAGTTTATTGTTGATTTCATTCATCTTGAAATATGTCCCTCTGTCTTTATATCTTTTTTTTTTTTTTTTTTTTTTTTTTGAGACGGAGTTTCGCTCTTGTTACCCAGGCTGGAGTGCAATGGCGCGATCTCGGCTCACCGCAACCTCCGCCTCCTGGGTTCAAGCAATTCTCCTGCCTCAGCCTCTTGAGTAGCTGGGACTACAGGCATGCGCCACCATGCCCAGCTAATTTTTTGTAGTTTTATTAGAGACGGGGTTTCACCATGTTGACCAGGATAGTCTCGATCTCTTGACCTCGTGATCCACCCGCCTCGGCCTCCCAAAGTGCTGGGATTACAGGCTTGAGCCACCGCGCCCGGCCCTGTCTTTATATCTTTTTAAAGTTTATACAAGATAGCCGTTTTTCCATGTCATCAAAAACTCTTCATTAACATCTTTTTATGGCTGCATATTTCAATCCTGTGTATACTCTATAATTGTATTTAGTTATGTAAAAAGAAGCTGCCATGTCTTTTATGACCTAACTTAAGAAATCACACTGCCGCTAACAAATACAAGTCATCCTATTCAGTGTGAAGGCATGACAATAGGAAATGAATACCCTAGAGGCAAAAATCATTGAGGGCCATCTTTATTTCTCTGCAAGCATCACTAAATTCGGTTGTCATCAAGAGCAGATATATAGTTGTTGACTCAGTAAGTGCAAATTCTCAGAATTAGTTAAATATGTGGTTACAGTTTTTGTTTAATATCCAGGTACGGCGATGGATGCACTTAATAGCATGCAGAATTTCTTACGGGGTCGTCCTAAAACCTTCAAGTCTCTGGAGAATGCTATTGAATGGAGGTAACCAACAAATCTTTGTCACCTTTATTTAATCTGTTTGTTTGTTTGCTTGCTTGCTTATTTATTTATTTAGGAGACAAGGTCTCACTCTGTCACCCAGGCTGGAGTGCAGTGGCATGATCCTACTTCACTGTAACCTTGAATTCCCAGTTCAAGCAATACGCCCACCTCAACCTCCAATAGCTAAGACTACAGGTGCATTCCACCATGCCTGGCTAATTTTTAAATTTCTTGTCGAAATGAGGTCTTGCTGTGTTGCCCAGGCTGTCCTCAAATAATCCTCCTGCTTTAGCGTAGCCTCAAGTAATCAAAATTCCTGGCCTCAAGTAATCCTCCCACTTTAGCCTTCAAAAGTGTAGGGGTTACAGGCATGAGCCACAGTGTTCAGCCACTGTTGCCTTTATTGTAAATGTTAGATTGTAGCTTCCCTTTTTTTTTTTTGAGACAGAGTCTTGCTCTGTCACCCAGGCTGGAGTGCAGTGGTGCAATCTCAGCTCACTGCGACCTCCGCCTTCCAGGTTCAGACAATTCTCCTGCCTCAGCCTCCTGAGTAGTTGAGATTACAGGTGCATGCCACCACACCTGGCTAATTTTTTTGTATTTTTAGTAGAGACAGGGTTTCACCATATTGGTCAGGCTGGTCTCGAACTCCTAACCTCGTGATCTGCCCACCTCAGCCTCCCAGAGTGCTGGGGTTACAGGCGTGAGCCATTGTGCCTGGCCAACCTTTCTTTTTTGTTAGCTCAAGCACCAAGTTCAAAGAATAGAAGTTCAGTTGCCATACTTTATTGTAATAGCATATGAGGAAACATTATGTAAACAGCGGAATTTTTTTTGAATATTTAAAAATATTTTAGATGTGGCTTAGTTGTCTGAAGCCCATTCTTTTTCCAATACACGACAGTACCTCTTGGAATCTTAGTAATTCTTGATCATCTACTGTCTGGCTGTTTCTGCCTCTGAGGAGAGGCTGGACTAGGTGGTTTTTAAGGCCTCATCCATCTCTGATGCTCCATGGTTTTAGATTTACTTTCTGTGTCACATAAAATTACAGAGAAATGGAAGATGGCTATAGGTTCCTTTCCATCAAATTTATTTGGATTTTGGGTAAATAAACTCAACGGGTAAATAGTTTTTATAAAAATCAGTGACTGAATTCCATTTAAGCAAAGGAATAAATTTATTCAGTTAATCATTTCATAAAGTATTTAATAAACACTTATTTTGTGCTAAGGAGTGAAGATTCAGAGATGAGTAAAACACTGTCCCTTCCCACAAGGAGATCAGTCTTTGGATAAATGTCTTCATCATCCTGTCTTCCTTCCTATTCTTCTAACTCCATCACCAGTCTCTTCTTCAGAACATTTTCTCTTAAGTTCTCCAAACTACCCAGATGACTCTTTCATCAAAATTACTAGACACCTTTAAGTCTATATTATATTGTACTGTATACCCTTAAGTTTTCCAATCCTCCTTTGAGGGATAGGCTCAGATTGTTAATTTTCATTAGTGTCTATCTTAATGCCATTCTGCATCATAAGGGAAGAAGCTATTCTATGTTTCTTTTCTACTTTCATATAACATATGGCATACTGTCCTAGCAGGCAGAATATATCTGTTAACTGAATCAGATATCAAGTGTACATTTAGAACTTGGTAAATATATCCTAGGAGTTTTCCTGGGACAAAGGGTCTTATGGGAGAATATGGCTTATCAGAATGGTATCTGTGTTTGGTGAGGTTGTTTCTACCACTTCCTGTTCACTACTGTGTTGCAGGATTCCTGTTCTCACAGAAATACCAAAGATCTGTTTTGGGCAGACAGCACTGAGAATGTAGCTGCCAGCTTGGCTTGTAACTTAGGTGCCCTGCCTGCTTCCCCAGTAACAACCAGTGAGAAAATTATTCTAGACTTGTCTCAGTAAGCCCATCCATCTTTTATCCAGACTTTTTTGTTTTGTTTTGTTTTGAGACAGGGTCTTACTCTGTCGTCCAGGCTGGAGTGCAGTGGCATGATCACAGCTCTCACCGCAGCCTTGACCTTCTGGGCCCAAGCGATCCTCCTGCCTCAGCCACCCAAATAGCTGGGACTACAGGTGTGCACCACCATGCCCAGCTAATTTTTTCGGGGGAGGGGGAGATTCTTTTTTTTTGTAGAGACAGGGTTTTGTTATGTTGGTCAGGCTGGTCTTGAACTCCTGGGCTCAAGCAGTCTGCCCGTCCCCCTCAGCCTCTCAAAGTCATGGGATTATAGGTATTAGCCACTGCCCCTGGCCCTTTTTCCAAACTCTTAAAATTTATTTGGTAAATATCTTTTTTCTAGTGCCTAAGATGTATTAGTACCTGATCTAAGAACTATGGGATGAATCAGGCTCAGTTCGTATCATCAAAAATTGGGGATGCAAACAAGGAAATGCATAAACACAACACAATGAAGGAAGCCAGGGGACATAGAAGAAGGGCACCTAATGCAGCTTGGGTATCATGGTAGGCCTTGTCTTAAAGTAGTCTTGTTTCTTTTGCCAGATGCAGAATAGGATAAGAGTTTTGTGTGTTAAACATTAAGATGTTTTGGGTTTCATGAAAGTCACTGATTTTTCTGAACTTGAAAATTATTATACTATGAGGTATTTGGTAATTTTGTTTTTTATTCTGCTGGGTATCTGAGTCAGATTTATGACTGATGGCCATTTTGGCTATTCCAGATTTTTTTTTAATGTTGAAATATAAGGCCAATGAATTACTGCTTTTACTCTCATAGGTTTCCTAATGAGAGGCAGTAGGGGTATAGTCATTAAGAGCCTGGGCTTTAGGCCAGGTGTGGTGGTTCACACCTGTAGTCCCAGTGCTTTGGGAGGCTGAGATAGGAATATTGCTTGAGGCCAGGAGTTTGAGAACAGCCTAGGCAACACAGTGAGACCCTATCTCTCAAAAAAATTTTTCAAAAAAATTAGTTGGGTGTCGTAGCATGTGCCTATAGTCCTAGCTACTCAGGAGGCTGAGGCAGGAGGATCATTTGAACCCAGAAGTTCCAGGTTACAGTGAGCTATGATCATGTCACTGCAGTTTAGCCTGAACAACAGAGACCGACCCTGTCTCAAAAAAAAAAAAAAAAAAAAAAAAAGTTAAGGGGAACCTGGGCTTTGAGGTCAGACAGATACAAATTTCCACTTTGGTTACACCACTCTGGCTGTTCTGAGGAAAATCGAATAGAAGAAGTGGGGAATGAGGTGTGAAGTTGATTAGGAGACTATTGTAGTAATATAGAAGAGTAATAATCGTAAATATAGACTAGGATGGCAACAGAGAGAGAAAGAGAGTCTTTTTTTTTTTTTAATTTTGAGACAGAGTTTCGCTCTTGTTACCCAGGCTGGAGTGCAATGGCGGGGTCTCGGTTCACTGCAACCTCCACCTCCTGGGTTCAAACAATTCTTCTGCCTCAGCCTCCTGAATAGCTGGGATTACAGGCACGTGCCACCATGCCCAGCTAGTTTTTTGTATTTTTAGTAGAGATGGGGTTTCACCATGTTGACCAGGATGGTCTCAATCTCTTGACCTCGTGATCCACCCGCCTCGGCCTCCCAAAGTGCTGGGATTACAGGCGTGAGCCACCGCGCCCGGCTGAGAGTCATATTTTTAATGTATTTTCAAGGTAGAGCTGACAGGATTGGTTTATGGATTGGACGTTGGGAGAGAGATAGGGGCAGGCAGGAAGGGTATTAAGGATGACTCTAGGTTTTTATCCCAAGCAATTGGGTGAATGGTAGAAACAGAAAGAAGTAGATATGGGAGCAGATAAGGGGCAGAGAATCAGTTTTGTCTGGATAAACTCAAATACTTATTACACATCTAAGTGGAAATGTTAAGTAGGCAGTTGTATATTCTAGTTAGAAGAGGTTGAACTAGAGATAAATTCAAGAATCGTTATCACATAGTTAATATTTAAAGGTGAAGGACTGAATATAAAGACCTAGGAACTTTATAGGAAAAAGATCCAAGACTGAGTCTTGGGATATTCCACAATATTTAGAGCTTGGGAAGAAGAGGAAGACCCAGCAAAGAAACTGGAAAGGTGCAGTTGATGAGGTAAAAGGAAAACCAGGTGAGTATAGCAAGTGTCTGTAGAAGGAGGGAGAGAACAATGGTGTCAGATGCTGCAGAGAGACCAAGTAAGATGAGGACCAAGAAATAACCATTGGAATTGGCATGATAGAGATCACCTTGACAAAATAAATATCAGAAAATAAATGGGAGATAAAAATCGGATATAAGTTGGGGAAAGGATGAAAGATAACAAAGTAGAGAAAGCAAGATAACTCTTTAGAGGAGCTTTGCTGCATAGGAGAGTGGAGAAATGGAGTAAAGCTAGTTAATGTGGCATTGGGAGTATTTTTAAAGACTAGATAGTAGAGTATGTTTGTGACATCCATGAGACAAAAAAAAAAAAAGATGCAGAAGAGAGACAGTCTAACTGAAGGAAACAATATCCTTTCAGAAGCAAGAGGGGATGGGAACTAGTGCCCAAGGCTGGCTTGATAGGAATAGAGGTACTTCATTTATTAAACAGGCATCAAGGCAAAGTATATTATTACAAATATTGGTAAATTTGTGGATTCAGTTGGTAGTTAAAAGATGAGGTAATAGTTCTGATTGCCTCTTTTCATCATTAAGGAACAATGTCATTATCTGAAGAGGGGGGCTTTAAAATTTTGAATGATTTTTTTAACCTAAGAAATGAGATTTAAAGAAGTGTTTTTTTTCTGGTGTTTGCTTCAGGCAGTGTTTCCAGTTCCCCTGGGAATACAGTCATTTTTGCTTTGCCCTTAGGTGTACTTAGGGGGACAAATTTGAGAAGACTAATTTATTCAGATAGCCTAAGCTCTGTAGCAGGGCATAAAAGGCCCTGGAGAAGCTGGTGCCTGCCTACCAATCCTATTCTGTCACACTCCCCCTTTGCCGCCTCTCCCTGCTTCTCCTTGCATCCAGTCCTCTAAAATCATTATCCTGCCAACTTTCACATCACAGTGCCTTTGTTCACAATGTGCCCTCTGCCTAGAATGCTCTAACCAACCTCTTTTATTTTCTGGTTAAACTTACCTATTCTCAGTTTAGCAATGACTTTTGGGACGCTTTTTCTGACCTCCTCATTCATGATAAATTGTCTTCTTTGAACCTTGACTTATTATGTTAACATTAAATGTGTCTTTTTCTCCCTACCGAATTATGTGCTTCTTGAATATAGGCCTGGCATATAGTATCCTCTTGATAAATATAGGCAGAACTGAAATGGCTATGATGTCTTTACTTAATTTTTACTACCTAGCTTATAACCATGTAGCCAGGTGGGTAATAGTGGCAATCTCCATAGTAAGAAACACTGGTGACCACTGTTTTTTATTAGGTCTCACATAATCTGTAGAATTATTCATTTGATTTCAGTGATGTAATACAATGGATACTGAATAACCTTCTCTCTTCCTTCTTTTCTTTCCTAGTGTGAAGAGTGGCCAAATTCGAAATCTGGAGTCAGCCCGTGTCTCAATGGTTGGCCAAGTCAAACAGTAGGTCTCATTCTTCCCCCTTAGTCTGGTTAGAGGCTGAATCATGGTGAGAGAATTACAGATTGCTTGTTTTGTCTTACACTGATTTTACCATTCTGGTAAATGCCTTCATTATTTATATAATTTTACAGTTGAGCTCAGTTGGGACAGATACACGGATTTTCTTTTTCCTTCCTTCCTTTCGTTCCCTTTCTTTTCTTTTCTCCTCCAGTATTTCTCTTTAATACTGGATTACCTTAGCAAAACTCTACGTGTAAAAACGTGAAGAATCCCAGAGAGTAGACATTAAAAATGGTGTTTACTTTAGAGATAGCAGCAGTAGTTTCATTCTCTTAACAGTCTCCTTCTAAGCCAAACCTGGTTGTGAGGAAATTATAATAAAAAATATCTGGCATAGCCTGAGTGAAAGCCAGTTCTTTGAGTGATTCCTTGGCAGATTCTTAAGAGTGAGCTAAGATTATTTAGCCCAATTGATCTTTTCTGATAGAATTACATAGCATTCTGGGTATTGCCATATAGTCACAAAATAAACTTTAGATGAATTGAGAAAATATTGCCCAACAGAACAGACAGGAGCCTAGGAGTTAGATGAAAATGACAGTGGCATTGAGTGCTTACTATTTGTCAGGTACTGTGCTAGGCATTTTATATGCACTGTCTCATGTTTAAAACCTTATATTATGGAAGAATTTCAAACATACAGAAAATAGTAATACAGCGGTCCACAGTGTGCCCATTGTCCATTTTCAATGGTTATTAACCCATAACCATGTCTTGTTTGCTTCATCTGTGCCCCTGTGTATTTCCCCAGTCACAGAATATTTTGAAGCAAATTCCAAACAAATATAATTTCCTCTGCAAGATTCTCATAGCATCTAAAAATAAGGACTCTTTAAATATCGTCACAATGACATTGTTACACCTAAAAAAATCGGCAATTCTTTAATATCATCAAATATCTAGTGAATATTCACATTTCTGATTGTCCCATAAATAATTTTTATGGACAAAGTCAAAATAAGTAGATAGATAGCAATTGGTTGATATACCTCTTATGTATCTTTTAATCTATAGGTTCCATCTCTCTCTCCGTTACTTTTTTGTTTCCTTGCAATTTATTTGTTGAGGAAACCTTGTTGTTTGCCCCATAGAATTTCCCATGATCCGGATTTGCTGATTGAATTCTTAGGCCATAATTTAACATATTCCTTTGTTCCTTATATTGTCTATAAATAGTTAAACCTAGAAGCTTAGTTGGGTTGAGGCATGTTTGTTTTTTGTTGCTTTGGGGTTTTGTTTGCAAGAATACTTGATAGGTGATGTTGTGTACTGCTATGAGGAAGTACATAATGTCTGGTTGTCTCTTTTAATGTCAAGAGCCATTGATGTTTATTACCTAGATTCATTAATTCATTTGCACTAGCTCATGTAATCCCTACAATACCTCTTTAAGATAAGTAGTGCTTTATAGTTGAGGAAATAGAATTTCAGAGAGGTAAATTAGTTTCCCAAGATCACATAGCTAGTGGATGACAGAGTTGAGATTCAAACTCCTGTGTATTTGACTTCAAGGCCTATGTTACGGATTTTATGCCTAAAAGGGCAATTTTAGTAGAAATATCAGGCAGTCAAAATGCAAGACTTTGAATAAGCTATGAGACTGCCCACTTTTCAATTCCTAAATATTTTGAGACCTCAAATTTGTTTAATCAGTAGTAAAGCATTTTAATGGCATATATGCAGATAGTTCAGTGATTTTTAAATTTTATTTCCAGTGGTGTCTTAGTAAGTAAACCTATGTGTAGGAGAGTGTGTATGTGCATGTGTGTTCATTGTCACATGGATAGCTGGAACTTTCCTGCCCTTTATGGTCTAGGTGAAATTGCCGTGAACTTCCTAATCCACAGGCTATAAAAAATCAAAGCATATGTTTCCTTGTTACACTGTTTTTTTTTTTTTTTTAAATCACATCTATACTGTATACTAGATGTGAAACTTGGCACCTCAAGTTTCATATAAAACTTCTATTTAACAAAACATTTGTGAACATACACTTCACTGAAGGTTTGGCAGAGAAGACAGAGAGGGAAAAGTTATCATTCTTAAAAATCTGCTGACCCTTGAATTTATCCCATTCTCTTTGAATCTTGCTTGTTCTCTGCCTCCTTCCTTCTCTGTCTTTCTCAAGGGCAAAATAACAGATTCTTCTCTATCATGTGGAGCAAACCTTGGCACTAACTGTTGCCCAGGCCCTTGGAAGTTTTTACCTTTAGAGCTTATCAGTGTATTTTTTTCCATCAAGTTCTCTCTAAAGGAAGTATGGGACCAGCTGTTGATATAATAATAATTTTTCTACCAAAGATATAATAGATACCTTTTTTTTTTTTTTTTTTTGAGATAGAGTCTTGCTGTGTCACCCAGGCTGGAATGCAGTGGCATGATCTCGGCTCACTGCAACCTCTGCCTGATGAGTTCAAGCAATTCTCCTGCCTCAGCCTCCCAAGTAGCTGGGATTACAGGTGCGAGCCACCACACCCAGCTCATTACTTTTAGTAGAGACAGGGTTTCACCATGTTGGCCAGGCTGGTCTTGAACTCCTAACATTGTGATCCACCTGCCTCAGCCTCCCAAAAGTGCTGGCATTACAGGTGTGAACCACCGCACCTGGCCAGAGATGCCATTTTTAAGAGAAAAACAACAGTTCGTTGGTTCAGATGGTTTCTGTCACCTAATTAAAAAATGAGGCCTTTTATCATTATGTTTGAGCCCTGTTCTGCTGTAAGCAGGGTACAGCAGAAAAGCACCATGCTTTGGAGTTAGTTGAGTCTGGATTTGCATCCCAGCCTTATCCACTTAGGAGTTAGGTGATGCTAGACAGTTTTCTAAACTCTTCAGGGCTACTTCATAGGATTGTTATGAAGATTATATAAGATTATGCCAATAAAAGTCATGCCTGAGGAAATAGTTGCTCCCTTTCTATGGGTCAGTGTTGGCGCAATAAGTGGAAACCAGCCCTTGGAGTATAGTAAGACATTGGTCATGATTTTCCACAGCCCTGGAAATGCACAATTCTATTTTCCTGCCAGGATGATTATTAAGGTTTAGCTAACATTTGATTATGAAAGGCCATAAGTGTGAGTATCTCTGAGATAATCTGTGTATGGAAAAAAGGTGTGTAATAGCTCTTTTAAAAAAATCTAGGTGTGAAGGGATTACAAGTCCAGAAGGCTCAAAATCTATAGTGGAAGGAATCATAGAGGAAGAAGAAGAAGATGAGGAAGGAAGTGAGTCAATAAGCAAGAGGAAAAAGGAAGATGACATGGAGGTGGGTAAAGGCTTGCATTCTTGAAAAGATGTGGTATGGAATGGTTCAAACTATGTGTGGGTGGGGAAGGGTTGATACATTGTTCTTTTTGTTTACCATTAGATATTTTAGGGAACAAAGACACTATCATAAGGGACAGTTAACTATAAAATATAAAGCGCTGTTGATAGCTCTAAACAATTGGAACATAAAACTTACACTATATACCCTCCCCTAAAACAGACTGCTTTTGCACTTGTACTTCTGTTCCTGTTTTCTCCCATGAGAAAAATTCCATTTCCTACCAGTCTCCTCCAAGCTCATCCAGATCTTACCCTGTCCATCTATCTCTCAAAGTTTAACCCCTTGAGGAAGCTTTCTTTCATTTTCTTTTCTTTTTTTTTTTTTAAAGAAACTAGGTTTTGCTATGTTGCTCAGGCTGAATTCCTTGGCTCAAATGATCGTCTCACCTCAGCCTACCCGGTAGCTGGGACTACAGGCACATGCCACCATACCCAGCTTCCTTGGGGAAACTTTCTGACCTCAGTTGATATCACTCTGTTTCCAACACAGCACTGAAAGTCTATATGATACACCTTAGCACTTTCTTTTTTGAAGCTATACATATTAATTCATAGAACTGATTTTATAAGTCCCACTCAGAAATACTGTGGTCCTTTGCTAGTCATGTGTTGACTCATGTTGTCCTCTGACTATGCAAAAATTGTATTTCAAACAATCAAAAAATGTGTATTTTGTGGCAAGAACTGATGTTCTGCATGAATTTCCCTCTGCATTTAGCTCAAGGTTGTATAAATAGTATATTGTGAGTACTTGCTAGGCAATTGATTTGAGGATAGTTGTGGAAACAGTGCTTTTTTCTTGAAAATGTTTAGTGATCATGAACAGCAGACTAGGGATGGATTCGATTATAAACATCTTACTAATGGCAGGTAGTGAACGTGTAATGACCTACTTCTTTGCTTTTGGAGATACTACTGTTAGTACGAAGGGGAATACATTTTTAAACAGTTTTTTAAATTTGAGGACCTCCTTGCCATTTTTAAAAATCAATGATCAGAAATGTAATACTTTGTACATCTTTAGAGTTCACAGAGGTAAATAGTGCATGGTCTATTTGGTCCTCCCAACACCTTATGAGGTGTTGAGAGATCTTTTCTCCCATATTACCCTGTAGAATCTGAGGCTCAGAAGTTAGGAGACTTGCCTAAGGTAATAAAGCAGGTATTTAGTAGATTTGAGACTCTTAATATAATCAGTTTTTACCCCTTATGTGCTAAGCACTATGCTGAATGCTTCATATTTTCATCTCTAATTCTCATTTGAGTTCTGCATTGTAGATATTATCACCACTTTATAACTTAGATACAGATACTTGCCCATGGTCACGCATGAAAGTTGGAGATAAAAAACACCCAATCCTCGATTTTTAATTCTAACTTATTTTTCTTTGTATTTTTTTATAAGCCCAATTATGTGGTTTTATGAACTCCAGCAGTTCTGTTGAGAGGGAAAACTGAGGCACATTAAGTAATAAGGAGTGTCTCTGAGTATTCACTCCCCATTTCTCCCTAACCCTCCCAGCCTAGGCAACCACTAATCTACTTTCTGTCTCTATAGATTTGCCTAGTCTGGACATTACATATAAATGGAACTATATGTGGTCTTTTGTGACTGGTTTCTTTTCCCTTAAAATAAAGTTACCTTGGTTCATCCATTTTGTAGCACATATCAAATACCTAATTTCTCTATCTGGTTGAATAATGTTCCATTGTATGGCTATACCACAGTCTTTAATCCATTCATCACTTGATGGACATTTGGGTTGATTCCACTTTTTGTCTATTATGAATAATACTGCTATGAACATTTGTGTGCAACTTTTTGTGTATTCATAGGATTTTATTATTTGTCTTGGGTACACAGCTAGGAGTGGAACTGATGGATCTTATGGTAACTATATTTAACCTTTTGAGGAACTGACCGTTTTCCAAAGTGGGTGCACCACTTTACATTCCCACTAACAGTGTATGAGTGTTACAGTTTCTTAGTATCCTTGCCAACACTTGTTATTTTCTCCCTTTTTGATTATAGCCACCCTAATGTGTATGAAGTGGTATCTGATTGTGGTTTTGATTTTCATTTTCCTAATGACTACTGATACTGAGTTTCTTTTCATGTACTTATTGTCCACTTACGTATTTTCTTTAGGCAAATGTTTTTTCAGATGCTTTGCCCATTTTTTACTTGGTTTACTTGTTTTTATTACTGAGTTGTAAGAGTTATCTATATATTCTAGATACAGATCCCTAATTTGCAAATACTTTCTCCCATTTCTTGGATTTCTTTTCACTTTTTTGATGGCATTCTTAGCTGTACAGACATTTTTAATTTTGATGAAATTCAATTTATCTGTGTTTCCTTTTGTCTTGTACTTTTGGTATTATATCTAAGAAGTCTTTGCCTAAAAGTCATGAATATTTATGCCTATGTTTTCTTCTAAGAATTTTCTTGTTTTAGCTCTTACATTTGGGCCTATGTTCATTTTGAGTTAATGTTTGTGTATGATATCAGGGATGAAACCAACTTCATTCTTTTGCGTGTGGATATCCAATAGACATCCTGTCCTGGCTTCATTTATTAGAGACTCCCTTTCCCCATTTAATTGTCTTGACACCTTTGCCGAAAATCAATTGACTGTAAATGTTAGAGTTTATCTCTGGATTTTTAATTCTATTCCATTTATTTATATGTCTACCCTATGCAAGAACCACACTGTCTTCTTTATAAGACAGTTGTCGTATATCTTGAAATCAGACAGTGTATAAGTCCCCCAACTTTTTTCTCCTTTTTCAAGATTATTGACATTCTATATTATTAAAAAATTTTTAAATACTTGTTTATGTACCAGACCATACTCCTGTTGTTTTACATGCTCATCATTACAATTCTTTTTTTTTTTTAATTCTAGCTGTATGAATTCTGTTTTATACATAATTCACTGATCTTTCTCACAATACTGAATCTGAAACTATAGCACCAGAACTGAAATATTCTTGAAAAATTCTAGTCTCTGCAGACTTCTTGCCATTCATTGACATGCCATGATCTTGCAAGCCTTCTGTTTCATTGCTCCTGGTACTCCCTAGGTCTGAAAGTTCTTCGTCCAATTTAGACTTCAGGGTCTAGTTTGAATGTTAACACTTCTCTTTTTTTTTTTTTTATTGCATTTTAGGTTTTGGGGTACATGTGAAAAACATGCAAGATTGTTGCATAGGTATACACAGGGCAGTGTGATTTGCTGCCTTCCTCCCCCTCACCTATATCTGGCATTTCTCCCCATGCCATCCCCCGCTCAACACCCCAGCCCCCGCAGTCCCTCCCCTATTTCCCCCCAACAGACCCCAGTGTGTAGTGCTCCCTTCCCTGTGTCCATGTGTTCTCATTGTTCAACACCCGCCTGTGAGTGAGAACATGCGGTGTTTGATTTTCTGCTCCTGTGTCAGTTTGCTGAGAATGATGGTTTCCAGGTTCATCCATGTCCCTACAAAGGACACAGACTCATTGTTTTTGATGGCTGCGTAATATTCCATGGTGTATATGTGCCACATTTTCCCTGTCCAGTCTATCATTGATGTGCATTTGGGTTGGTTCCAGGTGTTTGCTATTGTAAACTGTGCTGCAATGAACATTCGTGTGCACGTGTCTTTATAGTAGAATGATTTATAATCCTTTGGATATATACTCAGTAATGGGATTGCTGGGTCAAATGGTATTTCTATTTCTAGGTCCTTGAGGAATCACCACACTGTCTTCCACAATGGTTGAACTAATTTACACTCCCACCAACAGTGTAAAAGTGTTCCTATTTCTCCACATCCTCTCCAGCATCTGTTGTCTCCAGATTTTTTAATGATTGCCATTCTAGCTGGCATGAGATGGTATCTCAATGTGTTTTGATTTGCATTTCTCTAATGACCAGTGATGATGAGCATTTTTTCATATGTTTGTTGGCCTCATGTATGTCGCCTTTTGTAAAGTGTCTGTTCATATCCTTTGCCCACTTTTGAATGGGCTTGTTTGTTTTTTTCTTGTAAACCTGTTTTAGTTCTTTGTAAATTCTGGATATCAGCCCTTTGTCAGATGGGTAAACTGCAAAAATTTTTTCCCATTCTGTTGGTTGCCGATTCACTCTAATGACTGTTTCTTTTGCTGTGCAGAAGCTGTGGAGTTTGATTAGGTCCCATTTGTCTATTTTGGCTTTTGTTGCCAATGCTTTTGGTGTTTTAGTCATGAAGTCCTTGCCTACGCCTATGTCCTGAATGGTTTTGCCTAGATTTTCTTCTAGGTTTTTTATGGTGTTAGGTCTTACGTTTAAGTCTTTAATCCATCTGGAGCTAATTTTAGTGTAAGGTGTCAAGAAGGGGTCCAGTTTCTGCTTTCTGCACATGGCTAGCCAGTTTTCCCAATACCATTTATTAAACAGGGAATCCTTTCCTTATTGCTTGTTTTTGTCAGGTTTGTCAAAGATCGGATGGTTGTAGATATGTTGTGTTGCCTCCGAGGCCTCTATTCTTTTCCATTGGTCTATATCTCTGTTTTGGTACCAGTCCCATGCGGTTTTGGTTACTGTAGCCTTGTAGTATAGTTTGAAGTCCGGTAGTGTGATGCCTCCTGCTTTGTTCTTTTTGCTTCAAATTGACTTGGCTATGCAGGCTCTCTTTTGGTTCCATATGAAGTTTAAGGTGTTTTTTTTCCAGTTCTGTGAAGAAGGTCATTGGTAGCTTGATGGGGATAGCATTGAATCTGTGAATTACTTTGGGCAGTATGACCATTTTCATGATATCGATTCTTCCTAACCATGAACATGGAACATTTCTCTATCTGTTTTGTATCCTCTCTTATTTCGTTGAGCAGGGGTTTGTAGTTCTCCTTGAAGAGGTCCTTTACGTTCCTTGTTAATTGTATTCCTAGGTATTTTATTCTCTTTGTAGCAATTG